CCAAGTCTTGAAGCTATGAAAACAATAGCTTAGTGGAAAGTCTATGTGAAGGTCCTCGCTCTCACTGTGCTGCTATTGCCTGATAAAACTATTTTTCACCAGAGTTAATGGGAAAACAGTAATTTTTCACAAATAATTATTCCTTTCTGCTGGAGAAACCCAAGGAAGAACACTGATCTCTGTTGCCTTGACAACATTATTCTGAAATACTCAAGTATTAAAGTATCCAGTATGCTCAAGAAAGTTTGCAATATCTATTTCATATTGGATACTTATCACATTCATCATGCTGGGATGCACTCATCTATCATCTATGACTATTTGTCACAGAAAGTTTTGTGCCAAATAATACATGAGAAATACCTGAGCTGTACCTAAATACCTAAATGTACATGGTATTTTTCACGGCTACTGAAAGTTGTTAGAGCTATGGCCTAGAAAAATGAGCATTCTTCCATGGTATGTGGATATTAGCAAAATAAATGCTGTTTTTCTAGTAATGCATTTCTAAACTGAGCAGAGGGATCTCCTCTACAGAACGGCTGGAGGGAGTCCACCCTCTCAAGGCTTGAATCTCAAGGTTTGAACTCAAACCTTGGCCTTTCTGATAGGTTTTGCTGAGGGTACCTACCAGGGGCACAGCATAGCTGCTTCTGAGATGAAGCCTCTTAGGTCCACATCAGGAGTGGTTGTCTCTCTTGCTGGCTGCTTGTTGTAGAAGACTGAAAGCCTGATTTTTCAGGGGTGCTAAGCCATACTAGAGACAAAAATGAGTAGGAAATGCAAGCCTGCAATGCTGCAAAGCATCTCGATTTCTCTTTAAATTAAAAAATTAATCTCTTACTGGAAAAAGAGATACCACCAGCCTCTGTGAACCCAAAGCTAAGTTTCATGCTTTCATTTCTCGTCGTTTTTTCAGTTTTTCTATAGACTGTGCCAGATGTAATAAGAATGAGAAGAAAATAAAGCAGCACTACAATGGCATGCTGGTAATCATTTCTGATCTGTTAGAGGGAAGTGTTGGTATACAGTGTACTACATACTTCTCTCCAATCTCTTCTAGTAATTTCTTTGGATGAAGATGATGAAAGAGTATACTCTGCTCCAGACAGAATAAATTATTTTATTGACAAATAAAATGAAAGCTACTGAACAGTGAATTTACTACTACCATTTTTATTAACAAAAGCAAAACACAAAGTGTTCTGTTTTTTTTCCCATCAGACGTTAGTAGGTGTAACTTGGGATGGTCAGTGATGCCATAACCTCTACCTAGACAGTTCCTATAATTGTGTTAACTTCACACCAAGAATGTGGTTTCCTTCCCAAGAGGGGCAGCAGGACAAGAGACAACCCACATGATATAAATCAACAAAAATACCCAACTTTGCCAAAGAAATGTTGCCAAAGAAAACAAAGAGGGAAGACAGTAATCCTCCTGTGAAAATCTCAAGCTTCATCTAAATTAAAACTTCAGGTGTACTGGAAGGTTGTGGGTGATTTCCTGTACTGGATAAGGAGGTTGTTAATTGTCCTGCCTCAAATACATCTGAAGCCCTCTGTAAACTGTGGCATCCTGTTCTGTGAATTATCTTCCGTGGCCCTGGAGAGATTGTGGCTTCTGATCTCTCATTTCCGTTGTTACCAGACAATTTATGTCATACTTTGACCCCCATTCTTTAGACTACCTCTTCTGCCCAAAGGGGACATAAGTGCTGACACATGATTTTCTCACCCTAAGTTTTGACTTATTAGTTCCTTTAGTCCAGTTTAGAGGCATGAATACTGCCCCTTCAGAACTGTGCATCTCTGACAGTGGAAAAGGTTTCTAGGATGAGCCAAGAAACAAGCCCACGGCTGTGATGAATTGCTCTGATTATTGAATGCCAGCTGCTTACCTGAGGCTTCTAATCTTTTCAAGCACCATATAAAATGTATACAATGTATATATACATTGTGGATCCCCCCTCCCTGGAAGTGTTTAAGGCCAGGCTGGATGAGGCTTTGAGCAACCTGGTCTAGTGGAAGGTGTCCCTGCTCATGGCAGGGGGGTTGGAACTGGATGATCTTTAAGGTCCCTTCCAACCCAAACCATTCTATTATTCTATGATAATGACAGAAAGTGCTTGAACGTCTCTCCTGCATCTACATTCCCAGATGATACCTGGAGAAGTGTATTCATGGACTATCTGGGCTGGTAATAAATACTGTAACGCAGTTAAGCCAATGTCTGCATGGCCTCCCTGACTACACAGTGCTAATTTTTTCGGTAAATGTTTCTAAGGACTTGTCCAATCTACACCATAGCAGTCAGCTTTCAAATATCATTTAAACAGATCAGGAAAGAGTTACACTATAGGTATAATTCAGCTTCTACAGGCTTTAGAGGAGTTTGGTCGTAAGTTACATATTGAGAACTACTGCTGCCCTCTACTGTATTATTATGGGTTGTGCCTCTGATAATCAATGACAGCCACAAATACTCAGGCAAAATTTCTAGTCTTACTCAGAACTCAGCATGCTTAGTATTTCCATGTATTAAGACCATTCAAAGGGTCTTCTCCTAATTCATCAACATATTCTGATTCTGCAGGGGTTAGGTCAAATGGAAAAATCTTTACCTTTTTATCTAATTTTGACTCTTAGAAGAGGTAGATCCTTACAAGAGGTTGGACGTGTTTCACTGCTTCAGCAAAATGTCTCTTCTTCTGATAATAAAACAACTATTGGAAGAGTAAGAACTTTGGAGTGAGAAACCAACCTTGGGGCCAAAATGACTACAAATAACAAGTGACAGGACAAGAGGAAACGGCCTTAAGTTGCACCAGGGGAGGTTTAGGTTGGATATCAGGAAAAAATTCTTCACTGAAAGGGTTGTCAAGTACTGGAACAGGCTGCCCAGGGAAGTGGTGGAGTCACCATCCCTGGAGGTATTCAAAGGACATGTAGATGTGGTGCTTAGGGACATGGTTTAGTAGTTTAGTGGTGAACCTGGCAATGCAAGGTTTATGGTTGGACTAGATGATCATAATGGTCTTTTCCAACCAAACTATTCTATGAGTCTATGATCAAGGTTCTCCCTGGGACACAATGTCTCTGATAACATGAACTTTATCTTAGATTATGATGGACAGCTAAGTCCTAGTTCAATTGAACTAATCCTTCCTTAGTCTCAATTTACCCAGTTCTGAAAGGATGCAGCTCACAATAATCTCAAAACCTAGGTTTCTTTCTCACTGATGCAACACATACATGCAACCTTGCTATATTCACATTCACTACATAACAGGCTCCAAAGAGGAACAGTTTGTTTCTTCCCAGCTCTCCACAGACTCCAATAACCTTCTCTTCTATCATTTTCATCTCCATGCCTCTGAATAGGTTGCATTGCTTGTAGGTTAGAGCACCTATCGTGCACCTAAAGTAATTTTAGAATTATTTTATGCTTCCCAATCTCACAAATCCAATTACTTCTCTCCTGCAGTGCTTCTTGCACTGGAATGCAACTATGGTGTCACCAATACGTAGTACTAAAGCAACAAACTCATCAGTAGGCAGGAACAGAGAAGCAGATGGTAGCAGACCACTACATTAAAGTCAGAGACACAGCCTTCCTACTCAAGGGAAAATTCACACTGTTCTCACTAATTATCTATGAGGGTCTCCAAAGGAATTAGATACACATTGCAAAGGAGGCAGACTAAGAGCCTGGCTATTGAGAAAAACCCATACTTCCTTCCAGTACATGCAGTGATAAACACACCAGGTGTTCACACATGCTCCAGGTCCCTCATTTGGTGGCTACCATCCTGGTTAATATTCTGCATACTGAACCAGAGAAACCTCCAGAAATAAAACCACAAGCTGTTGCCACTTTACATCAAACCTGAAACTTCTCATATGAGAGCTGACACAGTCTGATATCTGGGACACAAAGAAGAGAATCTGTAATACACATTCACTAGCAAATTCCAGCTGATTTTACTTCTGTAACACTTTCAGGTTTATTTTCTGTTATTCATTGTAAAACATTCAGTACATCCAGTTTCTTCTTCACAAAACAGACCTGTAATTTAAGATCTTCATGGTTCCCCATTTCTTCCACAAACTTTATTATGTAAAGGCTTTTTTCCCCAGGAAAAGTGGAGTATTAAAAAACAAACAAAAAATCACTTAAGCTGGAGTCAAGCTATACAGCCCATCTCCAGACCCGAGCTCAAAGCTTAGGTTCTCTCCATGGAACAGAGTTTCCTACAGGGAAAGGAGATAACAGTTTTGCTTCTTGTATCTCAAAGATAGTGTGACAAGGAAGGTTCCTCTCCATTTTTGCCCCTTAAACTTTTCCATCATGACACAGAGGGATCCATGCATAGTTCAAGAATTCCAGCTCAAAGGGGCCTCATGACAGCCACATGAGATGGAGATCAGTACTGACAACAAAAGATACACATCTCTCAAAAGATTTGGCCAGTTTCAATAAGAATGCTGAGGACTCAAATTAAGAGTCAAAAAAGAAATGGTTCAGATGTTTTCTGCCCTCTTCTTTCTGAACATATAATTTACCTCTGTAGCAAATTTCTCCCTCTCACTTTCTCACCATCATTCAGATCGTCTGGCCTCATTTGAGAAGAGAAATCTCATGCCATAAGTTTTGGCAAACTTATGGTTGCCAAAGGTTATTCCAATACTCAAATTACCTCTAGAAATATATCAAATCTGACACACAGCAAGCAGTGCAATAGACTTTGCACATCACCATCAAAAAAGAAACATACAAACCAGAGATCCATAGAAACTAGTGCAATTAATTCCCTATCTCATGCTTTTCCTGATGACTGCAAAGCTAAAACACTGAAAATATTTCTGAAAATTAGTAGCTTTGCTTTAAAATAAGAAGAAAAGAAACCTTTCCTACAAGAATTTTTTGTATTCTCTTCAGTTGCATGAGGACATAATGGGACATGGCCCAATTCTTAAACTCTAGTTTACAAAACACCTACCTCTAGGACTTTCCCAGTAATGAACTGGTGACATGCTTCACATTTGACTCCAAAAAGAACTTGATAGTCCTTTTCACAATAAGGAGAACCATCTCTGAAAAAGAAAATTCACAAATTACAAACTACCTTTTAAAAAACAGGCTACAGCATGACTTATACTCTTCCCTTGTTTTGAGTCTGGAACTCTTACACACAGCAGCAGGTAAATGGGAAGGAATTCAAGAGAGATATTTTGCAGTAGCAGAAAAAAAAAAATCATATTCTCATTAGTGTCTCTTAGAATTGGTCCTTAAGATCCCATCAAGAAAAGGCAGCCAGTACAAACCACTGAAGTAAATCTCATTCTTTAGAACAGACTCTCTACACCTCCAGGTGGTGCAATTCTAGGGAACCAGTGGAACTATGTCCATAGGGATCAGAGGAGATCACAGGCTTTATCATAGGGACGTGGTTTTTGTTCACTTCAGCAAAAAAATCTTTGGTAGTCTGCAAGGGCACAAGCAGTTACATTTAAGTGCAAGGTTATGTATGTGTAAGGTTTAATATGAACAAGGAACATACATATAGTAGAAGTGGAAACACTAGTCGGCTTAGGAGTATTTCTCAGGCACTGACCTTTTGAGAAATCACAGATACTACTTTTTATTAAATATTATACACCCCCTAATGCCAGATTTGTGAAACATACATTGTTTTGCTGTTTTTTCTCTTTGTTATATGCTTGAAGAGGGGAACAGAGACTGTATCTTCATTCCCTCTATTATACCATTACACCACTTTTTCCCATTCTCTGCACTTCCTTCTGTTCAAAACTCCTCTCATTAGTTTCTTACAAGGAGATGAGAAACACAGTGGCAGGTCAATCACATCACATTTACTCTGTTCTCTAGCAAAGACAAGCAAGGGACAGGTTCCTACATTTTTTTCCTCATGTTGGAAAGCAAAATGGCACAAAGTATTATCTGCCTAACACAGAAACCACATGCAGGAATTCACCTAATGCTTTGTGGGAGCATGGAGATATACCCTCTTCTGTACTGGTATTAAATATAGACTATGATCATTAAATACCACCGTTCAGTTGCACTTTTCAGTTCACATTCCTTTCCCAACTCATCTCTCACTGGGAACAAAGATTTGGGTGTATATGGAAAGGTAGTCAAAACCACATTTTGAGAAGTGAACTTTGCTGCAGACTTTTCTCCATTAGCAACAAGAACTCATGCCAGGAGTGCAGAAGAGATGCAGAGGTTACTTACTTGCTGATGTACTCCCCAGTTAGGACCTTCCCGCAGGCCTTACACTTAAAGCACCCCAGGTGCCACTGCTTATCCAGAGCCAGCAACGCTTGTCCATTTTTTATGTCTCTTCCACAGCCAGCACAATCTGCAAATAAACAAACAAATGCATTTGTTGCCAGTTACTTAGTTCATTAACCCTCATTAATCACCTACCCATTGCAAAACTTGATAATCAAAGGGGAGAATTACACAACAACGCAAAAGTATGTCTTCCTTTCCTCAAATGCTTCTCAGATCCTCTGCCAAGATGTGTTGGGTTCGTGGCGGGGGGAAAGCCAGGTTTTTTTTGGTAGTGGGGGGAAGGGCAACCTTATGAGAGTGAAAAGCTCCCCCGGCTCCAAAACGGACCTCCCCCCAGCCCAGGCTGGGCCAGTGAGCACTAGAGAAATGCCTCTGTGGATCCATATCTGTGAGGGGAAGGACTGTCCTGAAAAGGAGAAGGTGTGATATCTGGAGGAGAAACGGTTGACCAAACAAAAGACGACCATCAGCCTAAACAAAGACAGACAGACAGAGAGCGAGCTTCATTGCCAGAAGGAAGGACAAAAAGACCTGCACTCAGTTCACCTTATGTAGTAAGAGAAGACAAAGGAAGCCCCCTCTGCAGCCCATGGAGATTCAACAGCAGAGCAGGACTCCACGCTGGAGCACAGAAGTTGAGCCTGAGGGCAAGTGTGGCTGAAATTGTGACCCCAAGCCAGAGTGGGGGTGGACCCCCAGAGTGGGGGGGGAAAGTCTCATGCAGCCCGTGGATGCCCCAGGCTGGAGCCAGGAGCTGAGACTGAAGAGGTCCGTGACTCCATGGGAAGCTTGTGTTGGATCATCTTGTTCCTGGACTTTCATGCTGGGAAGAGCAGTAGAGGTGAACTGACTGAACCCCCATTCCCTGTCCCCTGTGCCGCTGGCAGGGGTAAGGTAGAGACATTGGGAGCAAAGTGATTTGAGCCGGGAAGAAGGGAGGGGTGGGGAAGGTGTTGTAAGATGTGGTTGTTTTGTCTCACTGCACTACTCATGAATGAATTAATGAATTAAATTGATTTTTCTTCCCCAATTTGAGTCTGTTTTGCCTGTGACCATAACTGGTGAGTGAGCCCTCCCTGTCCTTCATCCTAATCCCGTGCCCCTTTGTTGTGACTCCCATCCCATCTCACTGGGCAGGGGAGTGAGTGCAGGACCGCATGGTCCCACCGTGGGTCAAACCACCACACAAGATTCAATCTTTATCATAACAGACATATTCAGCAGAAGAGGGAAAGTACCTCTTCTGTTTCTTGCGCTGTTTCAGGTTCAAAGACCGCCAGGCAACCTCGGTACAAACTTCAGATTTTGTTAGGAACAAGCTACAAAAATCACCACTGCAAAAAGTTCCTGTCTTCTAAAGCAATCAGTGTTCTTTCTCGTCTTGCTTTTAGCACAATCTTGACTGCTTACGTGAAGCTAAATGAGGCCTGAGTGAGCATCATCAGGATTGCTGTGCTTCCCCGTTGGGTGGCAGCAAAGCCCGATGTTCCACCCAGCCCAGGGGCGGTGGCACATCTCAGCTGGAAGCAGGGGGAGAGAACAGAAAGATCTTTTTTCAGGGAGGGCACAAGGCCAGGGTGACAGTAGTATGACAGCAGTGAAGGCTGCATGGCAGGGCACATTGTTTTCCACTTGTAGGTGTGGGAAACTGTAGTTCTCATGGTCTTTAATTGGCATAATGACTCTCACTCAGGTATTTTGGTACTACCTTGGCAGTTGACACTCACTTTTCACTGCGATTCTGAAAGACTTTGATGGCAGAATGCGAACCTGAAGCCAGAAGCATTGAATGCCTTCTGTCCCAGAGGATGCCACAATGTCTTATGTCACATCAGAAATCTCTGGCTCAGCCCCAGGCTCCCGTTCCTCTCCATTCAAACAAGAAATACTCAAAAGAGATCTCCTGGTAAGGGGCAATTCAGCACATGGTAAGATCTGAAGAGACTGATGTGGCAGACAGCGCTGAACTGCAAGGGTTGTGCTGCAGCTGCTGTGCCCAGCCGCAGGGGACAAAGGCACCAAGGGAAGGGAAGGCCTGGAAGACCAGTGAAGCGGAAACAGAATGCCCATCAGCTGAGGCACACATGGAAGCCACAGAGGAGATAGCCTGGAGCAAAGCTTTTTCCATATTGTATTATCCCCAAACTTGGGTGTTCCTTTGGTGTATTTCCCTCTTTCTGTCAGTGTTCTTCTTCTTAAATACCTTAAAAAACCAAAAAGGGACTAAGCACCATGGTATCTTGTGATAAAATTCAAGTCACAGACTGTTGACACGACTTGGACTTGAAAAGCAACCCTGAGATGTCCTAATACCAGGACTTTGCTCTAGAGGACAAATGTTACAAATTGAAATCATGAAATGACAAGGACTGACAGCATGTAATGGATCCCTCTGCTCTTCTGCGCCAGCTCAAGGCTCCAGGCCACTGGAACAGGTCACTGAGGCAGGCTCTGGAATTTCCAGCGTGGGACTCAGGAGGGGACAAGCAAACATCTGCCAGGGTGGCTTTGGGAAGCTGATCTGGCCTTTGGTTTCGGGAGGATACTACATCACCTCTTGAGGTCCCATCCAGCCTGTGTTTTCTGATGCTAAATCTGAAACCATGCAATTTGCCTTCCGATTGTGACAACAAATGGGATCTTTCCTCCAGTCTCAGTGGGTGCTGAATTGTAGCTTTAAAGAGCACCCATTCCTCAGCTTCCTAGCACCACTGCTTCTCCCTAGTGTGCCAGCTTCCACAGTCCTGACCAGAGTCCTGCCAAACTGTGATACAGTCTCTGTTACATCAATCCCTCAAAATATCTGATGTATTTTCCCTTTTTTTTTTCAGCTTTATCCAAAAAGCTTCCATGAAGCTGAAATTTCTCAAATATGGAACCAAGAAAGAGAATTTTAAAGCACTTAGTTTTGCTTCTGAATTTCTGAAGCAGTCAGAATAGAAAAACTGCCCTACATAACAGGTCTATCTAGTCCAGAATCTTTACCTTTATTGATGCCAAAACCAGTTACGTGGAGGAAGCAGGGATCCATAAAGTATCTTTACCTGTTTAATTGCTTCTTGTAAGCCAAAGGTAGCATTGCTGCACTTCCTCTGGTGCTCATGTGTCACAGAAGGGGTTGATAACATGCTTTTATTATTCTATAGCAACAATGACATTTACTTACTCTTTCTGGGTACCTTAAAATGTTTTGCAAGAGTTAATTAACATCATTCCCTTCTGCTAATATCACAGATATGATGAATGTCTAGAATCAAAGTAAACTAATAGCCCAGTTCTGTCTTATTAGACTTCGACAGCTTTTAACTAAACTTGATTTTAACTCTGGCAAAACTGTTGGGTATATACATGAAAGGCCAGCAATTATCATTATCTCTTAAAATAGAAAGCAAGTAAGGCTAGGCTGGGCTAAGCAAAGACAATTTATTAATCCAAATTCTACAAATAAAAGCCATTTATGATCTCAGGCCTGCATGAGGCACATTAAAGCCTTTGTCTGAATGTCACCAGCACACAGCACGTGCAGGCAGGATCTCAGTATCACACCAAGCATATTCTGTATCAGCCCAACCTGGAACCAGCACATGGCAAATAAAAGGGCCGTGATGTAAGACTAGTGCTCCACAGCCATACGCCAGAGCAGACCTGTACTAGGAAATCTGAAAACTCCTCCCAAAATTTTGTGCAATGGTTCCCACCATGGTTCTCTCTGGCTTCATACCTGGGTCTAACAGATTGCACCCTTTGACCTTGAGCTTTCTTGTGCTTTCTTTTTGTTATACAACCTGCATTCTTCCCTACTCTTACTCCTTGCACATCCACACATTCAGCTGTGCCAGTACAACAAAGAGGAGGGGGACGAAAGTGTAGCGTACTGGTTAAAATGCAGGGTGAGCAATACAGTTCCTATATGCACTTATGATCTAAAGGAAAGCATACCACAACACTACATGGAATTACATTTGAGCTGAAGGGAGACTTAAGACTAGACATTCCATGGCACTGATTCTCATAAGAAATGTGAAGTAACACATATTCACGTGTTGTGTCCATGCCCAGAACCTTCAGCTGTATGATAGCCATTTCTCAATACAAGCACTGCAGTATGACTTCAATAAAGACTCGATCAGAAGAAGGTTATCCAGGAACATCAGGAAAATAATGTATTTCCCCCAAATCCATCCTAAACAGGGAAAAAATTACTGTACCTGAGACTGCTGGACATATAGTTATCCAAATCATGGTGGAGCCTCCCTGGGCTGCCTGTGACACCAGCACCTACAGCCTCTACAAGCAACAACCACTTGATCAGACATTTTGTATAAAAATTAAATA